CCACGAGCGCGCCCTCTCCTCGGCCCAACTTTGTCCTCCGTTCCATCCCAAAACCCACTACTTACCCAGCTCACCACCTTAGTTCAGCCTCAAAGCTGCAACCTCCGTGGTGTACGTGCCTTAGCGATGGCCCATGCACTGTGCCCTCGACAATCTAGCTGTACGCACCGCTTCTTTCCATGCCGTCTGCCTGATTTAACACCCTCCAATTGGCGTATCATGCCAATCTGGGAGAATTGGGCACTCCGACTCTTGTTTTGTTTCGCCCAGTCATGACGTGGTGGTGAGCAAGCGGCAGCCGCATTGCGCGCGCTAAAGATAATGTGCGGCGTCGCCCTTTGCTGGCGAACCGGAGCGTTGTGAGACGGAGGGTTGTTTGCCCGAGTGGGAAAGTCGGGGCGGGATAGTACGAGACCCCGACGAGGGTGGCGTTTGTCCGGTTTGTTATCGTTTCTGCCTGCGCCGATGGTGTGGTATCTTACAGTAACTACTAATAAACAAATTCTAGAAACAGGAAATCGATGATGCGCGGACGTTGCAAAGTTTCATGACGTTCCTCCAGGTTTTGTATGTATGTACGTAGCAACGCCGCATACTTTGCCCTACTACGCCCGCCGTGCCAACTACACACACACACCCACTTTTCCTCACCAGAGCGCGCCAGAGGACTCATTCTAGCCCCCCACCCAACAGATGTCTCAGACGCAGAAAAAAGGTGCAAACGGTGCAATATCCGCCTGTACTGTATACTGCACGCCACATGGCTTACCGGGCGATATGAGAAAGCACTCCAAGCGCATCTTTGTCATCGCTCCTGCACGTCAGAGTTCGAGACGTAGGGATAAGCGATAGTATGCTCGTGGCTTGGCTGAGAGTTTGCTACTACTATCCACCTAGCTGAATAGCAGCAGGGTACACGTGGTTATTACGACAACTTCCTCGTCGTTAAGCTAGTAAAACAGCTTCTCCATTCACCGCTTGGCCTGGACCTGTTCCCCATTTTCCTGATGCGTAAGTAGGTGGGTGCAACGGGCCAACTACACTCCCCCCTTTATTCCCGTCCTCACAGGTGAAAGGGAGGATTGGATGGTAGTAGAGAGGTCTTTCACATACCGAATCACCATCTGCCGTCTCCCGGCACTGAAACACACACCGGCAAACCAGCACCACAAGCCACCGGTTTCCCCGCATGTATTTACCTCCTCATACTGAAATACCCGCGGTTTCTGTTCGATGCCGTACTCCCAATTTCCTGCTTTTTGTTTCTAAATTCATAGCCGCAGAAACGAGCTAAGGCTGCAAAGTAAACCCGGTGACAATGGATTGTAAAAGGCTAGTTACTATGTAGAGACACAAAAAAGGGGAGGGTTTGTTCTGCCATATGGAGGTGGGTATCGCATGGCTTGCATCAAGGTGGTCAGCAAAAAAAAAAATACCCCCCGGTCCAAGTAAGACAGCTAGCCTACTTTTCTCTCAAGTAAGAAAAAATCTTACCATCGTTCTCTGTTTAGAAAAAAAATCATCGCAATTGGGGTTCTTGCAAGATATCACCTCATTGAACAGAGGGTTTTGTTCGTGTCAATGGACCGTGAGACTTACCTTCAAGCTTTCATTGTTTTTCGAATTCCCCCCTTTTTTTTTTCCCAATTTGTCCGGTTTTTTTTTTCTCTAGGCTGCATTTGGTTGCTATCTATCTAGTAATTTACCATGCCAAGTCTGGCTTCTGCAAGCTCTCAAACATTGACTGGGGGGGTTTCAACATAACCAGTTCGCTCTTGTACGCCTTTGTAGAGATTCTTGATATTTTATCGCTTAGTGACACTTTCTATCGTGAAGCTTTAGGGCGTGGGAGAAAGACATCGTGTCTATTTTCAAGATGCGCAGGGAGGGGTTTTTTTTGGGGGGGGGGATCTGGAACTGGGTGTTACTTTGTCAGCATGTCTAATTTCATATCCGTAGAAGAAATCGGTATAGAAATGTAAATAATCCGCTTTCTCGCTTGACTTTTGTGTCTATGACAAAGATGATGAGGGAGAATCTTTTTATAGATGGAATTTATATTCGACGGAATGCAGGCTATGAAAGTTTGTATTGGAATGTTGGAATCGATCAGTGTAGAACATTAACATGCGGATCAAATGCTGGTGCCCCCCCCCTTTTTTTTCTTTTCCAAAATCTCCCAAGCGTATAACTTGTCGATGTGCTCTGCCTTGTCCAAAGTCGCAGGCCGTGACCACCATATCCATACAAGGAAGCACGTGGTATATATCGCAATATAGCTCGTCATCACCTGACCCCTTGACGTGACATCTTGCCCAACAAAAAGCCTTAAATATCCAGGGAGAAGAGAGAAAAAAAAGCATCACACACGAACATTGATCCCAGACCACGATGCAATACTCATCCACAATGTTTGATTTGAAGAACAAATACGCATCTTATCCGCATTTGGACAAAAACTACTGCCCAAACAAAGCAAGAAACCCGTTATATACCAGACTCCGGTCCTTTTGCGTAATCGAACTAACATCTCCCGTGCCCGTCCAGTAAAACAAGCCACCTAGTCCATTCTGTCGCACGTAATTCGCCTTCATCCTAACCGTCTGCGGCGTATCGTACGTGACAAGGCCGCCATCGCCTCCAACACAGTAAGCCGCGCCAAGCTGTTCGTCGACATGCTCCTCTGCGCCCGGACGCGGCAGGTCGCGGTACTCAAACGTGCCTTCTTCGCCCGCCTGGCCGGAGAACTCGTGGCCGATGCCACGGGTGCCGGTGAAGCTGCGGCCGTATGCGGGGACGCCCATGACGATTTTGTGGCGGGGCACGCCCTGGTTGATCATGTACGAGACGGCTGAGTGACAGGAGATTGCGGCTTCGGGGCTGTGCGGGACGGGTGGTGTGAAGAGCTGGGCTTGGTGCCCGCATTTACTCACCCACGGTCCCGAGTAGTCGTACGCCATGAGGTTAACCAGGTCGAGATACTGGGACGCGTATCCCAGATTGATGTGCTGGAGAGCCCATTCGCCGGCTGGGAGAGCAGAGGACAATGTGTACTGAGGGGCTGGGAGGTACTGCCGGATTGTGGCTAGTAGAGCAATGTAGTCCTGGCCTTGACTGGCATCGGCCGGGTGCTCCCAATCGACTGTGAGTTTTTTTGTTTAGTTACTTTTTTGGTCGTTTACTGAGGTGAGGGTAAAAACCGACTGTCAATTCCATCGATGCCGAATTGCTGCACCAAAGCCAGGGATGACTGTGCAAAGCGCTCACGACAAGCTGGGTCTCGAGCAACGCCCGCAAACGGCTCGCTGCCTTTGCCGCCCCCGCCGATCGAGAGCACTACTCGCAGTCTCGTGTACTTTTTCTTAAGAAGCGCAAACGAGTTCAGACAACCCTTTGTTGCAGGGATGTCGTCGATGCCGGGAACATCGATCTGCGTATCTGCCCATTCATCGCTCAACTTTTTTTTTTAAAGAAAAAGAAAGTCAGTCTAAGAACTCATTCAAATAAAAAAAAATATAAATATATAACATACATATACAGTTCCATCTTCTTTGACCCTGTCTTCAAACTTAGCACACTCACTCTATCCGAAAAGGTCCGAAAATTTCCCAACGTTACCAGGCAAACGCATAAAAGACATGCGAAATGACGTCGTAGTTCAACGAGACGGGCGGCTGATCGCGATAGATTCGCCAGTTAGGATAGTACACGCCGTTCCAATACATGTTTTGCAGCGGTGTGGAAAATGTGGTGTTGTGATCAAGTGGGTTGAAGTAGTCTCGGCTCATTGTCGGTTCCGTCGTCAGCTTTTAAATGCTTTAGCCTTGCATGCACGTCAGGGTTATCCTGCAGGTAAGAGGGACCCCGTAAATCTGTTGCTTGGAAAAGATCAAAGCTCTACGGATATCGGAAGCTCCGCACGCTTTTCGTTGGTAAACACTATTTTGTGTGTGTGTGTGTGTGTGTGTGTGTCTGTGTGAGGTGTTCGTCTGGGGCATATGTGGGGGTGTCGGTACGTAATGGAGGGCAAAGTAGTATTTGTGAATGCGTTACTTTGGCAATGGAAATTGGGCTAGGAAGATAGTTGGATGGAATGATGTTCGGGTGTCTGAAGAGACTCTGGAGTGCCGTCTAAATGGCCTTGTATATACATGTGAAGTAGACCATAGCGGTATTACAGGCCGCTCAACGATGCAATGAACTGGTGGTTGCATTGGATATCAATCGACATGCCGTTTAGCCTGAAGCCAGGTGATGTCTTAGCTGCTTGACTTGCTATAGTTGCTTCTGTTTCTGCAAGGCGATAGACGGTGAAGCCCAGTATGATACTTGAATAGACTGCGAATAAACTCATGGTGTTGGCTAAGATTTGTGGATAGCGCGAGCCAGAGTCGCTCTGCTTTGTAGGTTAGGCCGCGATGTCCCAAAATACTGTGTTCTCGTGATTTGCACGCTGACGCACTAAGAAGACGGCTTGGAAGGTTTAGATCTAGCCGGCTCGAATCTAATGAGCATCTGTAAGAACAAGTGAGAGAATGTGTCATGGGTAGTATTGCACTTCCAAGAGAAGTAGCCAAGAAGAATCTGATGTCATGTCTAAAGATAGAGGGTGCACGCAATTGAAATCATATGCAGATATATTTCTGGGCATATAAACGTCTGATTACGAAGGTATTGATAAGGGTGCGCACACCTATATTGAAAGTGTCAGCAAGCCTTCAAAAACCGAGGTAGAAGCTGTGGCGCAACCGGTGTGGGGTTCCAAGGCTGTGCCAGCTGTACCACTCGGTTCCACGGCACGCGCAAATTCTAGAAGTCGCTGATAGGTCAATGTGAAAGAAGCACAAGGCGCTAGAGTAAGATGGAGGCGCCGTGCAAGACTGATCTGGTAGGTTGCACGAGAGTTGCAGGCACACGGAGGAGGATGTTGCATGTGTGTAACCACCGCTTATCGATCACGTGATTGCGCGCTCCGACGAACCGTTTGCGTCAGTCCGACTGCAACTACATACAGCTGTGCTCCAGCCACAAACACCAACCCCACATAACTACCGGGCCTATACTGAAGATCCGGAATCGCCTACTGTACCACAGTTCTGTCGGCGCACAAGAAAGCACTCTGCATCACAAACATATTACGCTATAGTGTATCAATTGTGACCGGGCGCATCAGCTGCCAGAGCGCAACGCGAGGCCACTTTCCCACGCGTTGCAACAAAGTGGACCGATAATGACAGAGGTCATGACATCCGTAGCGGCTCCCATGTCAGAAGAGAAACCCACTGAGGCTCGGCCTCCCCAATATACCTTCAAATTCAGCGAGTTTCTTAGACGTGAATACCGATTTGGCCTAAACCCCGATCGCCCAACCTGCAAAGCATACCTCCAAGGCCACTGTCCAGACGGCAGCAAATGCCCCAACAAGCACAATGTCTCTTCTTCCTACAACAAGTACGTTATCCAGCAGCCCACCCCATATCGAAATGCCAGCAGGCTGACCCCCAACACTACAGTCTCGTATGCAAACACTGGCTGCGCGGCCTGTGCAAAAAGGGCGAAACCTGCGAATTCCTCCACGAATACAACCTCCGCCGCATGCCCGAATGCTCCTACTACGCCCGCACACAGACCTGCTCCAACGGCGACGACTGCCTCTACCTCCACCTGGACCCCGATGCCAAGCGCGCCTCGTGCCCACACTACGACCGCGGCTTCTGCCCACTCGGCCCACACTGCGCGCTGAAGCACAACAAGAAAGACAAGCTGTGCCCGTTTTACCTGTGCGGCTTCTGTCCAGAGGGCAAAGGCTGCAAGTACGGTGCCCACCCGCGGTATCCGACTGATCTCAAGAAGCCAGAGGTGCGTGTGGAGAAGAGCGCTGAGGAGCTCGAGGCAGAGAAGTTGGAGCGCGAGCGCGAGATGATGAAGAGAGAGGAGGAAGAGCGTGAGCGCGATGAGAGGAATGGGCATCAGGGTGGGCGTGGGTTTAGGGGCAATTGGGATCGCAAGAAGCGTGGGGGTAGACGGGGTAGGGGTGGTAGGGGACGTGGAGAGTTTTAATGCAGGCCGCGCACAAGTGCGTGAGAAAAACATCATATATCCGTTATCTAGCGAGCATTTCCTGCCTCCTTTGTAGTAGCCCCGGATTTTCTTTTCTTGTTTTTTCCATGTAGTGAGCGGAGAGGAACAGCTAAGAGAGTTGGAATTGACAGGAAAGATACGGCGCCGACTGATCTTGATAAATGTATAGCTGAGCTCAATATTAACGACACGAAAGACATGACCACACTCTAGTAGAGAGAGAGATGATAAATTGCCATTGACGATCATTATCCATGCAACAGGACACACAAAGATCCATTACTAAAACAACACCTTCCTCCTTCTCACACTTCACCTCCGCCTAAACTTGGACTTGCCCACAACCGGTCTCTTCACCACGCCATCCCCCTCCGCCTCGTCCCCCTTCTTCACCTTCCCCGCCTTCCTAACCACCGGCCCCGCCTCCTCCTCGGCAACCCTACGTTCCTCCCTCTCCTTATCCTCAGCCATCTGGCGCTCCAACTCGGCCTTCTTATTAAACTCCGTCTCGACGATTCTCTTATCGCGCGCCGAATACCCCTTCTCCTTGATTGAATAAAACACGGCGCCAAGATCGGCGAGCCAGTGGGGGTCGACGGCGGTAACGCAGGACATGTATTCCTTGGAGGTGAGGATGAGTTCGTGGTAGACGACGTAGTCGGGGAGGTAACCGAGGCCGTAGAGGGCGGAGGTGGGGTGGAGTTGGATGGTGACGGAGGTGCGGAGGTTGATGTATTCGCCGATGCCTTTTACTTTTGCGGCTTGGTGGTAGTAGCCTGAGCAGATGCACTTGCGGATCACGTCCCAGTCGGTGCCACAGGATATCAGGGGCATTTTCTGTTTCCCCATGATGTCGAGGATTTGATCGCGGATTTCTTTGGCCCGGCGTAGTGCCTTGGGATGCAGGAAGTGGCGGATGCACCAGCCGTCCGAGTAGCCATTTACTTTCCATTGCGTGTACACGTGGAGCAGGGTGAGGTGGTCGGATTCTGGGACGAAGAATTTCTCGCGCGCGGCGTCGGATTCTTCTTGGCGTTCTTTGGGGCGGTAGAAGACTGAGGGGACGGAGAGCATGGCGACGATTGTGAGCATTTCTTCGCTGCATTCGTATTCCGTGGCGGTGATGATGAGTTTGGCGAGAGAGGGGTCCATGGGGAAGGCCGTCATGGTTCGGCCTAGGTCAGTGAGGTTGCCAATGTTGTCGAGGGCGCCGAGGGCCCAGAGATCAAAGAGTGAGGTTGTGATTGTGTCTTGAGGTGGTGGGTCCATGAAGTCAAAGTCTAGCAAGTCCCGTACGCCGAGCGACTTTAACAGTAGGACCGTATTGGCGAGGTTCGTCCGCTGGATTTCAGGTATCGTTTGGATGTAGAACTCATCCCTGAACGCTCTTTCAGTGTATAAATGAAAACATTTTCCAGGGCCTGTACGTCCAGCGCGACCAGCACGCTGTGAGGCGTTTGCCTGAGATATCGGCGTGATCTGTAGTGTGTCCATGCCCATCTTGGGGTTGTAGACTTTGAGTTTAGAGAATCCGGCGTCGACCACATACATGATGCCGTCAACCGTCAGACTCGTTTCGGCAATGTTAGTTGCTACGATGACTTTTCGTACACCTGGAGCTGCTCGCTCAAAAATCTTTGCTTGCAGATCAGCAGGCATCTGACTGTAGATGGGAAGAATGCTAAGTTTCGGTGGGTCGTTTAAAAGTTTGAGTCGCTCTGCAACAAGTTCGCAAGTGATTTCAATATCCTCTTGACCCGTCATGAAGACTAGAATATCGCCGGGCCCTTGTGACACGTGGATAGCCAATACTTGCTTCACAGCACTGTCGACATAGTCCTCGCACGGGGATCGCGAGTACTGAATGTCGACAGGGAATGTTCGCCCTGGGATGATGAACTCTGGCGCGCCTCCGTAGAAGCGCGAGAATCGATCCGCGTTCATGGTAGCCGAAGTGACGATTAGCTTAAGATCTCGTCTTCGAGCCAGGACCTTTTTGAGAAGGCCCATCAACACGTCAGTATTAAGGGCTCTTTCGTGCGCTTCGTCCATGATGATGCAAGAGTACTTGTCTAGGTCAGACTCAACCAGGGATTCTCGGAGCAAGACACCATCGGTCATGTATTTGATCTTGGTTTCTTTGCTGGTACAATCTTCGAAACGAATCGCATAACCAACCAGACCACCTAGCTTGACCTCCATTTCTTCACTCACACGCTTTGCCACACTCATGGCTGCGACACGACGCGGCTGCGTACAGCCAATAAGCCCGTTTTTGGCATAGCCATCTTCGTAGAGGAACTGTGTCAGTTGGGTAGTTTTTCCAGAACCCGTTTGGCCGACAACAATGATTACTTGGTTGTCTCGAATCACGCGCAGTAAATCTTCCCGGACGGCAAAGGCTGGGAGGTATTGCCTCTGTTCTCGGAGCGTCTTGCTTTTGCTGAAAGCACTTGCACCTTCCTGTTTGCTCAGGTGCTGGGCAAACTTGCTACCACCCTGCTTCTCCTCTTCGTCAGGACCAGGCGCAGCACTGTCTGTGTCCTCTTCCTTAATGCCCATGATGTTGCCCAGTGTGGTTCCTTTTGCACTAGTGGCTTCCTGTGTCTGCTTTTGCCGCTCTTTCTGTTGCCGCTTTTCCTTGACCACGCGACTGCCGCGCCGACTGAAAACTGCCATGTCGCTCTGAGGATCTCGTACTGCTGGAACTGGGTCGATTTGCTTGGTGAAGACAGTCTTTCCGTCCAGAAAGGGTGGTCTGAGCTCGTGTACAAGGATATGTACGCGCATGCTCTCTTCATCGTCGTCAAAGTCATCATCGAAATGTCTTCTTTGGGCGACCCCAGATTGGAGCATTCGATTCGTCTCCCACGCATCGACATCCTTTTGCTTCTGCTGAGCCCTCATGCTCGCCCGGTTATTCTGTTTCTTTTCTGTCAAAGCAGCCTCGCGTTGTGCATCTAACCATGAGCTCTCAGCACCGCCAAATGGGTTGTGCGTATCGTCGCCAAACGTATGTCCGTTCTCCTCACCGCCATACCAGTCGCGGTCGAGTGCCATTGAGTCGAAGTCGTCCACGAGGGGTTCGGGGCCGTCGAATGATTCTTGAGCTGGGTGTGCGCCATCTTCGTTGGCTTTGGGCGTATGCGCGCGTGAAGACGCGGACTTGTTGGGTTTGCGAAACTTTGGACGAGGCGCGATCGAGTATTCTTCGGGGTCGAGCTTTCGCCGCTTGGGGCTATGACCGCGTTCCATTACGTCTACTAAGACTCTGAGTGCTGCTTTTGACAAGGAAATATGCGTATAGTGGGGTATAGACTCGGCGTGGTGTTGATGGTGTTGATGGTGTTGAGATGGCGGGAAAGTTGATGCTCGGAGGTCCGCAATTATCGATAGGGCGGGAGCTTCAGCCAATCGTTGCGGGGCCGCCCAAAATTATTTCCTACCTGTGAAAAAGTTCCCCACGCAACTTGCGCTCTCACTGCGCATCTTCTCACACAGTACCGCAACAATGTCTATGATCACGGCGACAACATGGGTACCGCGCGGCTTTGCGGCGCCTTTCCCTACCAGGTACCAATTCGACGAAGAGGAATATGAGCGCATATCGAAACTTGCAAATCTACAGCTGGAAGACGCCAAGGAAGAACTTGAAGAGGCGCAAGCTGAGGAGAAGGCCAAGAGCAACGGAACTTTGAGCAAAGCAACGAAAAAAGATGACGAGTGAGTGTGCTGCTTTTTGCTACATACACGCAAAGGCTAATTGTTTGAAGCGACGATGACGACGATCTCAAAGAATACGATCTTGAACACTACGACGATGAAGTCGCCCAGGACCAAGGCGACACCATGGCCATGTTCGGCAACGCAAAGAACCTCGTGTTCCACGAGAACGACGAAGATGACCCGTACATTACTATGAAGGGCGGAGACGAAGAGGATGAGGAGGACCGAGAAGAGCTACAGATTCTGGCCACAGACAACTTGGTATTGGCTGGCAGGATAGAAGACGAAGTTGCGCATCTTGAGGTCTATGTATACGAAGATGAGGACGACAATCTCTATGTGCATCACGACATTATGCTGCCTGCCATCCCACTGGCTGTTGAGTGGCTAGATCTACCCGTGGGCAAATCTGTGGGTACCAGCGAAGGCAAGGGTAACTTTGTGGCCATCGGAACTATGGACCCGGACATTGAGATTTGGAATTTGGACGTGGTGGACAGCATGTACCCAGACGCGGTACTAGGACAAGGTGCCGACGATGCGACAAAGGCCGACAAGCCCAAGAAAAAGAAGAAAAAGGCCAAGAAGGCCAATGACGAGTTCCACGTCGACTCTGTACTCTCACTCGCGGCCAACCGTCACCACCGCAACCTTCTTGCGTCGTCATCGGCTGATAAAACCATCAAGCTATGGGACCTGAACACGACCAAATGCGCAAAGTCATACACGTATCACACAGACAAGGTGTGCTCTGTAGCATGGCACCCTGTCGAGTCTACTGCGCTTCTGAGTGGTAGCTACGACCGCACAGTGGTGGTGGCCGATATGCGTGCACCCGAGGCAAAAGCACCACGGTGGGGCGTTGAGAGTGATGTCGAAAGCGTGCGGTGGAATCCTCACGACCCGAACTATTTCTATGTAAGTGTTGCCAGGGCAAAGAGGATGATGCGGCATTAACCCTTGTCAGGTCTCGACTGAAAACGGCATGATACACTATCACGATGCTCGCAACGCACCAAAAGATGCGTCTGCCTCGAAACCTGTATGGGTACTGCAGGCCCATGACGAGTCCATTTCGTCGTTTGACATCAACCCGGTGATACCTGGGTACTTGGCAACGGGCTCTACGGATAAGCAAGTCAAACTGTGGAACATTCAAGAAAGCGGGCCAAGCATGGTGGTGTCGCGAGACTTGGGCGTGGGCAAAGTCTTTTCCACATCCTTTGCCCCCGATAACGAAGTGGGTTTCCGACTGGCGGTAGCAGGAAGCAAGGGCGCGGTGCAGATTTGGGATACGAGCACCAATGCGGCGGTGCGTACCGCTTTTGCCAGCAAGGTGCCGGCAGTTAGGGGAGATGGCAAGGAGCGTCTCGTGGGTCTGGAAGAAGAAGAGACGGATTCTGATTCGGAAGAAGGAGAGAGCAATGACGAGGAAGGGGAGGATGGTGATGACAAGGGATGGGAGTCGATGGAGGAGTAGTAAGTAGGCGAAGATACCCCGGGCGACTAGAAGCTGGGCAGCGGGCCGAAGATTTCGGGATATGACAATGTTTGTGTGATTGTGAACCGACGAGTTTTGATCTGGCGTGACAGAGGGCCATTGTGAAGCTTTTTGGTGAAACGCAGTAGAAGGTGTTTAGTCATGTTTCCTCGGATAGTATGAGGCCCGTGCGCGTTTCACCAAGTGCCCGACTCCCCGATCTCTCCGCCCTTTGTTTTGCAAGTCCCTTTCATCTCACCTGACTCGCATAAACTTGCATGGCTTGATGGGGTGGTGGTAATATCGACGTCAGTGTAATGATGGCAGAGGCTAACTTTAGTGTTTTTTTTTTTGCTTGGGGCGCGGGACCCTAGGTCAGCAGGAGACGCGGGCGCAAACATGGCGGACCAAGTGTTCCCACAGTTGGCGTAGTGGATTGTAAGTTACTTACTCGAGAAGCGAGGACAGGTCAATGCTAGCGTATAGCGGCAGATCAACGTTCGCAGCCTGCAGTCGGAGAGTGGCTGCCGGGTGTGGGTCCGACTGAAGGAAGGTCTCGGTCTGGCTCGATGGCCTCATTCCTGGGACCGGATTAGGGCACACCCTCGTCACATTCGGTCCTGCCAGTGAGGGTTGAAACTCTGACGCCGGGTATGGCAGAAGTGTAGGTCGGACGGAGGTTTGCTGTAAGTAGCAAAGAGGGGATTGGGTTTAGCGGGAGGAAGGGAGCGAGGTTGGAGGGGCTCGCTTTGTAGGCGCGCGCTCAGACGTGTGCCGACGAGGTGAAGATTAGGTGTAGAGTGTGCAAGTAAGATGGTTTGGGTCTAGAGTAAGCAGCCAACAGAAACAGAGTGGTTGCGCGTCCGGCGCGGGCACCGCGGAGACGAATTAGAGTTTGGGGGGGCGACGGCATGGGAATAGACAAATTGCGTGTTGGGGCAGAGTGGGATTGTGGCCAGCAGCGATTCGCGGGTCGGAGCGAGCGGCGTGCGGCGGGTGGCAGTGGGAGAGTATTGACGACGCTTTCGGGGCTTCATTTCAGCTGTCAATGCCAGTCTGGCTGGAGCGACGTGGGCAGACGGGCGGCGGGCGGCCGAGAGTGGAGCGGGAGAGAGTGTTCGTGGGCTGCATTGAAACAGCGAGTGCTGTCGAGGCGCCAACCAGACGCAGTGCAAGGGGTGGGACAAGCAAACAGGGGACGAGAGCCGGCTTAACCTGAGACGCTGAGGGCGAGGCGACGCCCGCTGATTGGCCGGGCCCTCGAAACGCACGGGCCGCCAGTGCAGGGCCCGGGGCAGTGCAGGCGACCAATCTTTCGGAGACAGGGCAGACGAGCCCAGCCCGTCCTCGCGGCCGCCCTCTGCTGGCTTTTCAAGAGGCCTGCCCCGTCGCCGTCGCCATCGCTGCATCACGCGCCCTTCTTTGCTGCCTTTCTCTCCTCCCTCTTTTGTGCCTTACGCGCCCACCAAGCCCATTCCTTTGCGCAGCCCGGTGTTCGCTCCTTGCCATCCCTACCCTTCTCCACGCTCTTTGACAGACGGCCCCTGTTCCCCCGGTCCATTCTCCCTTTTACTTTCTTCCCCACCCGCTGCGAGCCCAGCAATTCTCCAGACAACAAGAAAAATTTGAACAAAAAAATACTCGTCGTCAAGGACTCCACGAGCACCAGCAGACCCCAACGTCCAACGCGGGGCATCGACACTCTACTGCAAACACAGTGCACCGGACCATCAACCCACCACCCCTTGTGACCTCCGTACCACAAGGCCAACTCCACCCTCACCACTGTTGCACCGCACCTCGCTGCCTTGGTGTCTTCCAGAATACTGCAACCGTTGCATTAGCGGAACACTAGCCCTCGACTGCTTGCACCTCGTGCCAGCAAAACGCGCAATTTATCTTCGGCAGTACCCCGCTTATCTGCGCCGCCGCATTCCTAGAGCGACCAACAACGGTCACTGCTAGAATTACCGGCCCTGCCTCCGACCGCTAAACACTTATCAGGCACTATCGCCCTTGTTGAGCATTAATTCATCAATATGTCTCTTGCACGCGCAATGACGAAGCGCATGAAGCGATCCGAGGACCCCAAGGAGCCCACTTCGCCCACTCGCCCAAGTCGTAGCCAGAGTGTCAAGAACGGCTCCTCCATCGACCGTGCCAAAATCTCCCTCCCGATTGCTCTCGTCTCCACTACCAACATGCTTTCGTACAACGCGCCTGACATCTCGACTCTCAAGAATGCCTCCTCCATGGCCTCTCTAACCCAGACTTTCTCGGCAGACGACTCGGACCACAGTGTATCCACACGCTCCCGTGCTTCTTCGCATGCATCCAGAGATACCACCCTGACGGATGCTTCATCTGTGGATCTCTCGCCTATTTCGCCAGTTCCAAACTACGCCGGCGGCTTCCCCTCCGGTGGCAAATCACTGAGAAAGTCGGCTTCAACCACCAGTCTCAAGCAGGTCAGGGAGGAAATCGTCGAGCCAGTCCCAACCATCCCAGCGAGGGCCCTCTCGCACAGCAAGCGTGCCCATGAACGACTCGCTCACAAGCGATCTCTCCAGAACGTGGGCACGCGGGGTAGCATCAGCTCACGTGGAAGCGTGGGCTCCGTGCGAAGCTCGCGCGAACATCGATCGTCAGTCGACATGTTCAAGGCCACGATTGAAGAAGAGAACCACCCCTTTGGCCGCGAACTCGAGCAGCTCAATGAGGTCGTCGAAGAGTTTGGTGGCGTAGTTCGCGACGCCGAGGCCGAAGCGGATCATTCTGTCATGCTGTCAAGGAATCTGGCCGCTTACTGTGCTGCCGACTATCTTGCCGAGATTCGTCCACTGTTCAGCCAACGGTTTGGCATGCCACACCAAGCTCCCGCCATGGCCTGGATCTGAGTCCACCACCGTCAACTCTCCACTTTCCTAACCCACACCCCCGCGTCACCCCGATCGCCTCTGTTGCTTGTTGCTTGATACCTTAGACACTCACGGTCTCATTTTGTCTGTACATATTAGCGGATTTTTTCGGCCTAACCCCCCGCACACTCATTTGTCTAATCTTAGTTTCTCCTGTTTTATATATTTTTTGCTTTACCTGCTGGTCTGGGTCCAAGGAAGGGCAAACAGGCATTTCTGGAACCCCAGTCCCAGGTTTGGGGCACTACCCCGCACTGTCTTTAACGATGTTTCACGTTTGTTCTCTCCTGTACGATGTCATCCGGAAAGGCGGTTTACCGCAGGCGCAGTCGTTTGTTTTTGGTCATGTTGTGTACAGTGGTTACACTGTGTCTATGTCTCAGACGTACATATCCCAGATTGAAAGAAACACATTTCCATGCCAGACACACAGCGGTCATTCACAATCTGTTCTTCACATGATAACTGTATGATGGTGCATTGACGACTCGGCAGTTGGCCAGTCTTGGGCTTGTGTATCTCTACCGTGCAGATCATGCTTGCGTATGCATCATGGCTTGCGTATGCATCTCACCTGCCGAGTCCTCGATGGAGGGACGGGGGGGTGCTCACGGGGAATTTTCAAATTGGGAAGGTGCTAGGGCCATGTCCGACACCTGCCTATCCAAAGTTGTCAGGCCGGCGCATGTGCATGTACACGTAAATCTTAACACGATCTGTTAAGAGAACAAGTCGGAGCGGATGTAGATGATCATCAACATGGCGTCTCTAGCGTGATGGCGTGTTGATTTAACCTAGGATCTCATCGCCTAACCCCAACCGGCATCGGCGAAACACCTCGGCAGCCTTCCCTTGTCGTCTCAAACTTTTGAACGTACTGCTACTTGGGAACACCCAATCCACCAACCCACCCCCGCAAATCGCCTGTTCTCGTCAATTGAAAAAAATGATATGTCGATCGTGCCTGCGGGCCACCTCGCGTAGCGCCCACCAAATAGCGCCCGTCTCTCTGCGCCGCCCACGCTTCTTCACTACCGCATCTACCCTCCACAATGCCACACCCATTTCCAGTTCCACAGCCACACAATCCAAACCCCGTCAAGGCGAATCTTCATCTTCTCACGCACCGCCTACGGCCACATCGACGTCTGCCGCCCAACCTTTTAGCGAGCCATTGACACCAGCCCCGGGTCCTGATGTGAAAGCGGCGGCGGCAGAAGCAGCAAAGAAGAAGGTTGCGCCCCTGGTCAAGAGCAGCATACCGGCGGGACAGCCACTCAAAGGCCTCAATTTCTTGAAGGACAGACAAGATCCAATTGCGGCGCCCGATGACGAGTACCCCGCTTGGTTATGGACGTTACTGGATCGGCAGGAGAAGAAGGCGGAGCAGGGCGCCGGTGATTTGTTCTGTATGTTTTTCCCGTCCCCCCGTTGGATTGCAATAAAAAGGGAAAAAGAAACAATTTACTAACAAACACCCCACAGCCAAATCAAAGAAACAGCGTCGTCTGGCTGCGAAGCGTCTCCGAAAGGAACAGGCCGCGAACCCCGAAATGCTGATACCAAAGGTGCCGTTGTACGAGCAGACTATCGATTTACCAGCCGGTGATGGTACTCTATTCGGTGCTGTGCAGGCTGCAGAAGCGCGAGACGAATTGACAAAAGCCATGCGGAATAAGCGGAGAGCGTCCATCAAGGAAGCTAACTTCCTGAAGGCAATGGGTTAAGAGGCTAATTTTAAACTGTGGGTTAGAGGACTCACGAAGGAGAGGAATAGCAAGGTTGCAGCTACTATGCTTGCTGCTGATCAGCAGGATGCTGATTTGTATAGAACCATGTATATCATGTGACACAACGGATGATTTTGGAATTACCTTACCCAACTTTATCTATGGAAACAGAAGAAGAAGAAATGAAAAAAAACGATATACCATCTCTCAATACAGACACCAAGACCAGAAAAAAAACACTTCCAAGTCGAAAACTTGAGCACTTCCAGACTTCAAACACAACGTCAACTCACGCACTTAGCTAATGGAAAATACGTGAAACCAATTTATTCAATATCATCTATGTAACCTCAATTAATCTAGCAACTTAGTTTCCTCTCTTTTTCTTTATCGCCCCCACCTCAATTAGATCCTCCAAAACAAATGCTACGAGCATTACCCATGAATCAGCAGATACGCCAAATGAAAAACACTCCTCACACACACACACACATACATTTCAATCAACAAGACTCAATAGCAAAGAAGAAGAAAAGACAAATATGCAAACAACCCCAGTATTCCCCGTAACGAATGCCGCAAGAGAAAACAGACGTGAAAATCAAGAGAGGTAGGAGAAAGAACAAAATGGATTCAAACGCCCCCCGCTGATGACGTGAAACAAAACCAGAGGGAGAGAGAGAGAGAGGGAGAGAGCACGATGTCTATAAGGAGACAGATGGAAAGCGCCAAAAAGAAAACACCCTCCATCTCCCATCCAACAAAGATTCCCACATCTTCCTCCTCCCAATTCCCAGTTGCCAGAATAAAAGGGCAAAGAAAAAAAAACATGCACGCTGAAAACAACCAAGGGAAAAAAAGAACGTCGCAAAGACCCCGTTTGCCCTCCCCATCATAATCGCAGAACAACAATGTGGGAGGGAAAAAAAAAGGAAGGGCAGTGAAAAGGTGATAAAACACCACAAGGTTGGGAAGGAAAATTTAAAAAAAGAAACACGCCCAAATTTTCACATAAAACTCATCTTAACCTCCTTCTCTTCACCAAAATCATCCTCAAACTCATCTGCCCACGCATTATGTCCCAAATCGCCATTATCCATTCCACCGCCACCGCCACTCGCTAGATGCGAATCTGTCTTGGCCGAGCGAAGCGGCGGTCTCGCTGTATAGTGGTGGTGGTGATGATGCGATGACGACAAGGGATCGTCGTCCCATAGCGAAGCCGTGTCCGAGTGGATGGGTTGGGCTGGTAAAGGAGATGGCGGGGGAAAGGATGATTTGTTATTATTACTAGTAGTTGAAGTGTTGGCCGAGTAGGAATGGTGAGGAGGAGGAGGAGGGGGACTTGGATCGCGGAATGACGTGTCAAAGGTCATTTCCATGTGGTCTTGTTCGTGCTCGAATTCATCGTATTCTTCCCATCCGCCGGCTGTGTGGGATCCGTTGGACATGGGTTTGGGCGTGTTTGCTGATCCTAGACTGTCGTTGTAGCTCTTGGTCTCTCGAAGCTTCGAGTGCGGGTTGTTGCCGGCTTGCGAGGGAGGGACGGTAGCCATGTCGATTTTCATGGGTGGAAGGGTTGATTTGATTTCTTTGATTTCGAATTCGGCTTCGGCGTTATATTCTTTGGTTTCGACAGCCAGGCTTGCTACTTCTTTTCGTATCGCGTCAATGTCGAACATGATTGGGTTTTCTGCCAGTTTCGCTGGATCCTGGTCTTGATCTAGTTTCTTGTGGCCTGGAGGCGGAGCATTCGAGTTTTCATCGTAGACTTCCCATTCGTTCTTTGCAGCCTTCTTTTTCTTCCACCAGCTTAGCTTGCTGCCTCTCTTCTCCTTCTCTTGTGCCTTCTTCTCCAGATCTTTTCTCGCTTCTTCAATCTCGTTGATGAGTTCGCGCTGTCGTTGCTCGTGGTTATCCGGATCTGGATCCTCGATTTCGGCAAATTCGTCCGATTCAACAACCCACCCGACTTCGCGAAGGAGCTTGGGCATGACAGCACGGTAGGCCATATGGCCAGGTACAAGCTCAGTCACGTTGACGTTCTCAATGGTGGGGACCTGTATGGGGGCAAGGCCTGCAACGCGCATAACACCACCGCTAGTTGCGCGGAAGAGATAGCCTGAATACATTAACACCAATCATAAGAAGCATGAAACATACAACATACCCAAAATCCAGTCATTGGTAGCATACCCATTAACAAATCTTCCAGGCACAACAGACCTAGCCTTGACGTACTCGTCATATTTGGCCACTGCTGGTGTACCAAACATGTACACGTTCTGCACGATACCAAATGCACCACGTTCCGCAAGCTCCTTCAGACACGAGAAAATGACTCTTGAGCCTAGAGAGAAGCCGACGAGAGTGACAGGTCTCGTTCCCAAGTTGCGATCGATAAGTGAGTCTGCCAAAATGAGACCAGCCATATCAGCTCGAGCTTGTGAAACGATCCACGGGTTGTCGATCAGATATGAAAGTTTTGTCAAAGCGAGCGGCAGCGTCATAGCAGACATGAGAGCTGTGAGAATAGTGCTTCCCAAAACCTGCTGCAAACCTTGTGTGAGAGCCTAGACATTGTCAGTATACACACTTCTAAACCCGCTCATCACACTCACCTCAGTAGCAAGAATGTTGATGGTGGCACCCATACTCCTAAGCATCTCAGGCTCCCAGAGGACAGAGTAGATGTCACCCATAATGGGGTCCACAGTACTGTACGGCAATCGGACGTCGTCGACTTTGCCATTCATCCAGCCCGCCAATGTAATGATAAGATGGGTTCTCTTGTTGTTGTGAAGAGGACGATACTCAAATGTCTTCACGGCACCTGTACGCCTGTTCATTGCCCTGACACCAACAGTGCTACCAGTAACAACACCAGTAGACGTGATGATGGCAGCACCTCCAGCACCAGCCAGGAAAGTGCCGGTACCGGCCACGCCAATCGTAGAAAATCCCGCTGCAAGACCAGCACCAATGACAGGTGCTAGGAGACCTGCTGACAATCCAATTACTAGACCACCACCGACGGTAGCGAGACCCATGAACGCCAACCGCTTGTTTCGCGCTCGCCTGGCACGAGCAACCATGTGTTCATCTTCATTCCAGTTCTCCTTGTCAGCTTGCTCCTGCATCTCCAGAGCATCTGTAACACGCTTCTCAAAGCGGCAGCTTTCTAACCAATCTACCGCGAGATACTTGCCAACTCGCTCAAACAGCTCTCTTGAGCGTGAATCATATACGGAGTCTGCTATGAGCACCAGAAATAGATCACACAAGACTGTCCATCGCAAATCGATGTCGAGATTCTTACTTGTTGGAAGTTGAGATGGAGACCTGGCCTCTGGGTAGTCATAGCCGTCATCCTGATGTTCATCATAGGGCGGTGGTGGCGGTGACTGAAGACCTTCCTCTGAACCTGGTGTTGAAGTATGTTTCGACTTGGACTTGTCTGCTGGGGTTTCGGGACGGGGTGATGATATAGATGGTCTTGCAGAACCTGATCCGCTGACGGTGTCTATATCGTCCGCAACTGGGTTCTTCACTCGCGCGTTCTGCATTAATGCTGGCGTGAGGTCGGCCGGAACTACACCATGCTCTGACAGTTGCTCAATCATGATCTGCTCAGAAGCATTGATATCCATATGTGCATATAACTTGACCATGACTTTTTGTGACCACATTTTCGTCGTTCCCGACTGCAGCTCTAGCAGCTTCTTAAGTCTTCTGCTGGTTGTCTTGAAATCGGAGAACTTCATTTCCATTTCCTTGGTGGCCAATCGTACCAGTCCGACGTATGCGACACGCTGTCCTTCGGTGAGGATATTTTTGGTGGCTTGCATTTGTTGGCGTGGATCTCGCCCCTCTTCGTCTTCGTCTGCCAACGCGGTGCTTTTTTCTTTGAAGAGGTATGCGGTGTTGTCATCCATGCTCGTCTGCGAATCAGCGTCATCATCCATGATAACCCTGGTATAACCTTTGGCAGCTCCTCCGACGTTTCCGTAGCCATGCATGTCTTCCAGCTCCTCGGCATTCTCCTTCGCAATCAGTCTGTTATCGTCATCGTACATGTCGTAGTGGGCATACGCAGGCATGGTCTGCCATCCGTCGTCGTCATCCTCTTCCACCTTGTCCTTGAAATCATCGTCTGGCTGTGTGACGAGGCGTTGGTGTGAGTATTCGGATATGGATCCATTTACGCCTTTCGGAGGCTCGAAGGTTGAGGGAGACTTTAGGGAGACTGGTGAATTTAGCTTTGCTCCTATGAGCCTATCCTCAGGCAGCGCCTCAGGTTGTTCCTCAGGCATCTTTTCGAGCCCCTTCTGTTTAGGGTTCTCCACTGGCACCGTGGCCTGTACGTTGGCTTGAGTCTGCGCATTGTCCTCCGCCTCAATCTTCTCTGACTTTGCCGGTGGAACCTCAACCTTGGTCTCCTTTCCTTGTGGTGTATCTTCCTTTGTCTTTGGCGCGATGGCCTGCTGTGCGCTGTCCTCTTTGGAAGCTACGGCATCCTCAAACTTGTCTGCTTCCGAGTCTGAGCTGTCCTCGACCGGAGTGCGTGGTCGCCTTTTCCTTATCGGCAGGCCAAAGTCATCGTATTCAACCTCTTGGCTGGCGTCTTTGTTTGCTTCGGTAGTCTTTGTACTATTTCCCTCATTCTTGGAGGGCTCGGCGGGGTTCTCGCTCATTCTGGTGGGACTACCGTAGGAGACGCATGGGGAGGCCGAGCGGTATGGCGTCAATTGCGGGAAGGCGTGGCGTCTGTGTGGGTGAAGAGGGGGTAAGTAAAGACCCAAAGAGGGAGCAAGTGGTCCTGGTCCCTCGGGGCGGATTTACAAGACGAATGCGGAGAGGGACGGGGGTGTCGTTACCTGCCGCAGGGTACCGAATCCGCAGCTAGCGTGTCTGGTGCACGGCCTAGGTTCCGCGCGCAGTTTGAACTTTTGGCCGCCTTCCTACGTAAATTTCTTGCCCGCAATCATCCACCACAACAAAACACACCGTCGCCGCCATGAAGCTGAAGCGCGCAAAAGTAGGCTCGAATTACTTTCTACCAATCTCTACATTTCATACTAATAGCAACACAGGCATACAAGAAGCAGCTCCATCAATATGAAGTCAACTTCGGATTCCGCGAACCCTACCAAGTTCTGCTTGATTCACAAATTCTGCAAGATGCATACAATTTCAAGATCGACCTCGTCGCGCGCATTCAAAAGATGCTTGGTGGACAAGTCAAGCCCATGATTACCACTTGCGACATGCGACACCTCTATAATGCGAAGCCCAAGAACGAGACCCTCATATTACAAGCAAAAGAGTACGAGCGCCGCCGATGCAACCATCAAGACCTCGATGAACCACTCAGCACACACGACTGCCTGAGCTCTGTCGTAGACCCTAAAGACAATGCGACCAACAAGCACCGATACGTAGTTGCGGCCAATGATTCAGATACGCGCGCAAAAATGCGAACAATTGCCGGTGTACCCATCATATACCTAGCCAAGTCTGTGGTACTCATGGAGTCTATGGCTGAAATCACGGAGCAGCACCGCGAGCGAGAAGAAAAATCAAAATTCAAACTGGGGCTCAAAGGACAGCGCAGGCCAGATACGCCATTGAAGAGGAAGCGAGAAGACGAGGGACAAGACGGTGAGGGCAGTCGCTCTATTGGGGAACAGTCTACGGGAGATGCAAAACCTAAGCCCAAGAAACGAAAGGGCCCCAAGGGCCCCAATCCGCTAAGTGTCAAGAAGCCCAAGAAGGAAAAGACGGCTGCACAGTCGAGTGCTACCAAGAAGACACGGCCATCCACATCGAATGCAACCGATGGAAGCAGTCGAGGAAACGAGGGTGAGAATTCTGCGCCGCGTAAGAGGAGGAGAAAGCACAAGCCCAAAGCTGAGGGTGGTGATGAGGCACGAGGTGGTGAGGGGCCGGCCTCGCCATGAATGGGCTCGGGTATTGAAGCAGACCTGTATTCTAAGTAGGCCTGTGGGAATTGAAAACTGGAAAAGTTAAGAGGTTGAGAAGGGATAAAACCGGAGCAAAGCATACCCAAAGCGCCTATGAAAGACGCGTATGAAAGACGTCAACGCGGACGAAAATGTTTGCTAAAAGAGAAGCCAGTGGATACAACAGCACCTCTATACCCGCTTGCCTTGGGCAAGCATATCGGAAACTTTGGGTGGAAGGACAAGAGTGCTCCTGTCGTTGCGTTTCACAAACTCTACTACGACTTCGGCAGTCTTCTCGGGGAGATCTTCATGAAGAAAGTGGCCGGCGGCGGGAAACACCTGTAGTTGGAATTTACCTACATGATGTTAGATATCACAAGAGCAGCAGAATAGTCGTTTGGGAAATATACCCTGCATCTGCCCTATCATCAACTCCTTGTCCAATCTGTCTGTGCCAGCAAGCAGCAATAACTTGGCTCCCTTGCCGCTGAGAAATTTGCCACTCATTCCTGTAAACCAGTTTTCCCAGTACGGCTCTGTACTCGAGATCTCTGTCCGCCATGCCCATCTTCCGTCTGAGGTTTGTAGCAACAAGCTCGGCACGCTAGCTCTGGCCGATTGTGGGTTGCGCAGTGTGCGTGAACGGATGTGCCATTCGATCGCAGCAGGCAGCGATGGGAACGACTTGGGTCTACTGGCCAGGTAGGTATGCATGTGTCCCAGCGTCTCCATGGCCGAACCCTCGACTACGTCTAGGACCCCAAAACCCATTAGCTTGTTGCCTAGCAGTCCCCTGTTGGCGGCATCGGTAACAACTGCGCCACCCAAACTGTGTCCGATCAAAACAATTGTAGGAAGGTCTCCCCAACCCATCTTGGCTTGCGTGAGCAAAATCATATCCAGTAAATCCTGGCTAAGCTGGGCAATGCTCAGATCCGTATCCACTTGTCCGCTAGCATCCCAGACTACGCTGCCATGATCGCGTGCCTCGACGGCGAGTATGCCGATGTCTGGCATGGCCTTCCTGATCTCCTTTGCGGCCAAGGCAAAAGTCATTGCAGAGCTTCCGGCGCCATGATGCAGCACTATGAGCGGGGCCTTTGGCGATGCTGGCGGTGTGAGGTAGACATGGAACTTTGCATGGCCCGCGCCCTTGCGATCTTGTTCGAGATAGAACTCCTGGGCAAAGTAATCGGACCAGTGGATTGCGGGGGCGGGTCTCAGCGTATTAGACGGTCTGACTGTGCCGGTGCTTGACATTGACGAGGCTGAGGACGAGTCATCCTCGTACTCGGGCGGCTCTTCCTGGAGTGGCTCAGGCGGCGGCAGGGAAGAGAGCTTAGTTTTGGCAAACTCTCTGGCCAGACTGGACATTGCAGCTTGGTCGAGGCTGTATGTACAGTGTCGGAAAGCAGGCTTCGGGTACGCGTTGCGGTCCGCGGTGTGTTGATTGGTCCACTAACAGTGATGAGGGCGCACGTTATGCAGCTTTCCGATGAGTTATATGCCTGGATCGGTGGAAGGGCAATGCGTGAGGGGGGCTTAACAGAGTGGGGTGGTCCTGTCAACTAATCGCCGGCAGGGATGGGAGCTCCAGGTAGTCCGTCTAAGCGAGTTATTCACAACAACACGAGACTCCCCCATGGCGGACCCAGTCTCTCAATCCCCTATGCAGAAGTGCCGTGTGCACGATAGGCGAGAGCAACACGAGGCCGAGGGAGCTTATTGACCGTGCCGTGGACATGGGTGACGTGTATCCGATCTACTACATGCATGTACATAATGTACACTACACGGGCGTGGCCGCGGGATCTAGGATTTATGATTTGCGACTAGGGTGTCTGCGAGCCTGGATGCATGCCATGATGACGTATGTCGATCCCGCCTCTCCTAGCGCGCTGAGCTTCAGTAAAACCTCCGTGCCCCCAAGACGCATTCATCACATCGACGAGCTTCACAGCACGCTCTTCTTCCTTTTCTCCTTTCAAGCAAATCACAATTAGCTCTGCGATTTGCCTGACCTTGATCTACCCCCCCTCAATCACACCCAAACAACACGGGCTTTCATCTCCACAAGACCTCCGCCTGCCACCATGTGGAAAGGTGCCAAGGACAATGGCGATGATGGCCTCACACATGAGGAGCCTTACCCAATTCCCAACGACGATGAAGGCTCTAGGACATTCAGGACAAGTGAGGAGCCCAACGAGAGGACCAGGCTTCTGGATCGCCATAGGCCACCACCTAATTCAGATGGCTATCTCGACCCAGACGACCCAGCTGTAAGTCAAGCACTATCAGCATACAACTTCTAGTACTAAAAAGCGCTGCAGGTGTCGCCGTACAATCTCTGGACCGTACGGGCTATGCGCTATCTCACCATCCTGTTCTTGATCATCAGCTTCTTGTGGTGGGTCCTCCTACTCGTCTCCATTTTCGTCTCTCCTCCTGGACTCCACACGCGTGGCTCTGGCTTCTTCGACTTCGCCTACACCTGCCTTACCATTGGCAACCTCCTCGTGGTCACCATCTTCTTCATTACACCGGCGAAGGGCTTGCGCATAACCACTTCCATCATTGCTGGTCTCTTGGCTATCGACATGATTCTCATCCTATCGATTCCACGTATAAGGCTCGAAGAGGGTTGGGTTGGCATTGCAAGCGTCATCTGGGCCTTCTTGATGGCTGTCTGGTGCATCTTGACCGATCGCGTTGTTGCATACGGAAAACGAGAGGAGGAAGAGCGTCTGACTGGACGCGCAGAGACCCGCCGCACGTTGAAGGAATGGGTTGCTGTTCTTGTTGCTACCATTGTAACCGTCATCTTCATCATCATTGTCGTTCTGATGACTGCCACCCTGGGGCTGCGTGGCCGCGATGCAACACTCAAGATGTACGGCGACCGCATCTTGGTAGATGGAGACAAGTACGCGGTTCATTTGGCTTGCGTTGGCAATGTGACGGAGACACATGGCTCAAAGGACCCCACTGTCATTCTCGAGGCTGGTGAAGAACCATTGGAGTATGACTTTGAGCACTGGGCCTACGCAGCTTACAAGAATGGCACTATCTCGCGCTACTGCTACTGGGACCGTCCCGGCTACGCCTTCTCCGACAATGCTCCGTCACCACACTCGGCCGGTATGTCTGCAGATGCTCTCTCTGAGGCACTTGCCAGGTCTGGGGAGGAAGGACCATGGATTCTTGTCTCGGCTGGCACTGGCAGCATCGTCTCGCGTATCTTCAGCTCGCGCCACCTGAAGCAGGTCACGGGCATCATGATGGTCGATCCTCTACATGAAGACCTTCTCCACCGTATCGGCAACCCTGGACGCGGCTTCTTGCTCTGGGCCTGGGGTATCATCTCGCCTCTTGGTACCGTCCGCCTCGCAGGAGCACTCTTCAAGGGCCGCACACGCGAAGATCGCGTCTACGGCCGCAATGCCTACCAGTCCGGCAAGTTCATCAAGGCACAGCTCCAGGAGAACCTTGTTGCCGACAGTCTGACCAAGAATGAGGTCGCTGCTGCACGAAACATTCAAAGCTCAAACACACCACTTGTCGTTGTCTCGAGTGGAATTGAGGTCAAGAAGAACAGCGAGTGGGAACGCAAGCAGAAGGACTTGACGCATCTCACGGACAACCTTGTGAGCTGGGACGTGGTCAACAAGGCGCCACACCAGGTCTGGCAGACACTTGAGGGACGCTCAGTCATGGAGAAGCGCCTCAAGCAGCTCGTCAAAGCTGCTGCAAAGGTCAAGAATGAGGCTGTCGAGGAACAGGAAGAGTAGATATGCAACAAAGTCGATTTGCCTTTGTCTACTATGAGAAAAACGAAAATGAAAATTACGATGACTGGGAGGGGATTGGGCAATTCTATGGTTCGCGATGAAGGGCTAGTCTGGGGCAATGGCATTTTTTTTTCACTTTGCTTTTTCCTGTTACTCACCTGGAAATATTTCCTTCGCATACCCTATTCCGCTGTAACATTTTCGGTCTTGTTCTTTCGAAATGCCTCATCTTTTTTTTTCTTTTTTTTCTTTTAATTCCTCTTCGCCCGCAAGCACACACATTATACACACATACACCTGTACGATTCAAGTATCTAATGTCTAACAACAATTTCAAAGCAAAAAAATGATATGCATGCTTGCGTCAATTCGTTTCCAGTCTGGAATGCCTTTTCTTTCTACACATTATCGTACAATGGGGAGGGGTTGTTGCGACGCCCGACCTCTCAAAGCAGTCCAGGGTCGTTCGTTTGCATCACCCAAGATTGCGCCAATAACAACAAAACAGAACTCGAGTATAAATAAAGGAAAGAAAAAAACGTGTACAGGCATGCTTGTAGGTATCTTGTTGTCGCTGATAGATGATCGATACTGGACAAGGATGAGATGGAGAGAGACTCAAGAGAAACAAAAGAAAATCCTGGTAATCCTTCCTAGCTTCGTATAAAAATTTTGGTACAATTTCTTTTTTTGGTGGACAAACCGCTCATTCAATGGGTAGCGTGGGCTTGGGGAATCTGGTCAAACCGCCTGGAACGTGGAAACAGTGGGGCATTCTACACCTCTGGGTCCTGCTTGCGGCGACGGAGACTACCAATGCGTCTCTTGATTGCACTCCCCATGCTTTTCTCGGCATGATCGTTGCTGGTGGTGCCGTACGCGTCAGTGTGGCCAGCACTATGGGCACGACGGCTGCGCGTCTTCATTTCTGTGCCGGTGTCGCCGGTACGCTTGTGTTCCTTGAGAGCTCTCTCAATTGTGAACGACGGCTCACCCTTGCCCTTCAGGTCGTCAGGGTGGTATTGCTGCGGCATTGTTAGCAGGTGGACTTTGTTGAGACGGGTTGCAGGATGGACTTACGACACCGGGCCAGCGGCGGTAATCACCTCCGGGCTCACGCTGCAGGTCGGCTCCCTCTTCGTATTCGAGAACTCTTCCGAAACGATCCGGCATGCCGGGTGGGATGTTGGCCACCCCCTCGAGAGGACGGTGTCTCTGGAGCGAGTCGATAATGTTCTCGCGGGGAGTAGCTTTCAGTGCCTCCTCGTTTGAGTCCTTGACGGCCGCAAGGGGACTGTACTTTTCAACTCTGTTGCGGGCAATGCTTGCGGCATCGTATGGGCCCTCGTGGTGGTAACGGAGGATGCTTGCCTTGTCGAGGCGGTCAATAATATCTGCGCCCTGCATGTTCTTTTTCCTCAAGTGTGGAGCACGGTGAGCAACCTTCTCATCATGGCGCAGCTGGTCGAGTGGCCGGTGAGACTTGTCGCCTGGGTAGCGCTCTTTCAGAGAGTTCCCGCGGGAGAGGCCGTTGTTGAGCGTGGATGGTGGGGGGTTGCTGGCACGTCGTGGCTTGGCCTCATTCATGGACCCGAAGGCTTCGGCACGGTGATTGTTGGGGAACCGGGTATGCTTGGGGCTGGCGGAGCTGGGTGGGGAGGGATAGTCGTTCCTCCTGTTGTATGAGGAAGAGTGTGCATAGTTTGTCACTGAGGCAGATGCGCCCTTGGTGTCTGACGCAGCCCTAGAGCGACGAAACGGGTTTGTGCTGGTTGAACTGCCAGTGTGCTGGATGCTGACAGAGGGGTGCTCCTTGGGCAATTCAGCGGATCCAGGCGGTGTGATTGGGGCAGCGGGAGCGAAAGTTGAGCGAAAGTGGCTGTTGAGTCCAGTTACGTCGCTTGGGTCCGGCTCGATCAGAGGATCAATGATTGCTCGATGTGCCTGTGAGAATCAGCATGTGTATTCGCCTGCGCACCAAACCGGACGTACGGCCTCCATTGTGATGGTGTTGAGTGAGTGCGTGTGACGGCGGTGTGTTGGCAAGACTGCGGGTGCAGTTATTGCTTTTTAAATATGGCGTGAGCGGACAAGGCAGCCAAGTGGTGTTGTCGTTGCAGTGCTGGTGATGGAGTGGGAGGAGGAGAGATGGAAAGTAGGAACAGGCAATGGGCAGGGGAGACGGGCATGATTAAATGGCTGGGTGGGACGCGTACACACACATGCGGGCAGCTCAGTCGCGGCCCTGCGTCAGTTCTCTTTTGCTCGCTCTCGTTCTGGGTGAAGCCAAACGCGGCCCAATCGCTGCCGTACGTCATGCGGATGCGCTAGGCTTAAAGTGGGGCCGGTCCTTGGTCTATCCACGAGTGACGACAGCAGAGGCGATCTTTCACCAACTGTGTTCGAGCCCCAACATGGCCCTCGTCGCTTATCCGGACTCTGCCTCGGACGACGAGGGGACGGAGCATGACAAGACCCCCGTCCACTCTGTTCAGCCTGCACACCCGCCCACCAAGCCCAGCAATGCTCTGCCACCGCTCCCGCCAGCTTTCCATGACCTCTACGCGGTAAACGCCCGGGTCAGCACTAGCGACAATCCAGACCTCCACGGCGGACGTCGACGTGCTGTGCCACATGTACAGGGCAATTGGCCCAGCCATGTCTATCTAGAGTGTAAGGATACCGACATGGCATCCCGCACGTGACGGACAGCAGGCTAACGCCTTGGAGGGATACCAACACAGCGTGAATCCATTGCTCTGCTCAACTTGATACAGCACGTGAAGAGTGTACTCGAACTTGAAAACACCAAGCGTGTCAAGAAGCTGCCAGTACCAGAAGATATTACACCTTCGCTCCAATCAGACCTAGGCGTGCCCTTGCCTCTGCATGTGTCATTGTCGCGTACGCTGCAAATCAAGACCGAGGACAGAGAAACATTTCTCGACACTCTCGGCACTTCTTTGCGACGATGCGCAGTGCCTGCATTCAATTTTGAGTTTCAAGGCCTGAAATGGGTGCCCAACTTTGAGCGCAACCGCTGGTTCTTAGTACTTGCCATCAAACGGCCAGAGAACGACGAGCTAAACACCCTGCTCCATGCATGTAACCAAGCTGCTAAGAATACCGGACATCCAGCCTTGTACACGGGCGGTGCGGGAGACGGCCCGATGGAAGACGTCGACCACGAACATAGGCCAAAGAGAAGGAAGGTCGACAAGAGTGACCCCCAGATGCATGATTATTCACCATATTTCCACGTCAGCGTAGCCTGGAACTTGACTGAGCCCGACGCTGAGTGGACGGCTCTAATTCAAAAAATCGACGCCACCGAATACATTCAAACACCAGATGCTGTGTTTGACGCGGTAAAAGTAAGGATTGGCAACGCAGTCCACAATATCCCGTTGGCCGCCAAAAGACCTGGTTTAGGAAAAAGTGGTCGAGCAGGCTTGGGCTTGGGCTGACTGGATTTATTGATCAAGGGTCCGATGACGTGGATGTCGACACTCCAGAGTCCAGACTTGTTGGGGACTTTTTTCCAAGAATTATGGTGCCCTGGAAGAGCACGACCCAACACCACGACGTAATTCGCACTGTCGCAGTCGGGTAGCAAGTCGCTTACTGTCCGCCTTCCTCAACACTCCAGGGTGCTTTGAGCATTCAATGGCGTCCGCTGCTGCAAGATTGTTATATTTTTTCTCAAGACCCGCAGGGTTGATTGAACTTAATGGCAATAGAAGCGTACATCGTTATATTAATTTACCCAATTATTGCATGGATACCAAGCATCGAGCCACAGCGAAATACGTAGTGCTGAGCTGGGCAAACATCACGTGATCTTGGAACATCAGGAAACCATCTTTTTCAACGCGCATCCTGTACCCGGCGCGTTCGTGGTTGCTTTTTTCGGCAACTATTTCGGAAACAAAAAATCAGACTTTGTGGAAAAAGAAACTTTTGTGATTATTTCCTGTAAAGCCACGTTATGTGTACGTGAGGTTAACTGAACAGAGAAGGGGGAAAATAAACAACAAGAGTAGTACAAGCATCCCCAGTTGCACATGTAACCAGCCCCCGGCTTGGTATGGAGGTAGAGACAAATGCACAAAACTCTAGGCGCGCATTTAAATCGATGGGTTTGAAGACACGTGATGCCAGGCGTGGCGCAGTCCGCTACTCACAGTGGTACACGTTAGTGTCGCGTCCGAGTGTACATAGTACCAAGACGTGGTTTGTGGGGCTGAGGTGTGAGATACTAGTGGACTTTTTACGCATTCGTTCCAAGAAAGTAAAGAAGTGTCCGACGAAACGCGTCTGTTATTGCACAGCCAGCCAAGAGAGGGGAAGGGGGCATAATGTGGCTGTGAATGTCTGGGCAGATATTTAGATCAAGATAAAAGAGAGTAAGATGACAATGAGTAGTATTCGACGACATAGGTAAGGAGAAATAAATAACGTTGTCACTGATTTTGTTGTTCTAGGTGCCGAAATGACATTACGGCCATGGATGTTGAGTTGCACATGTTTACTGGCGTTGTGTTTGCAAAATAATTTTCGCTCGTCATTACTTATACGGAGTAATGCCCATTTCGTATCCAACGTACCAACTGATTATTCCTCAGAAAAACAAAAAAACAATATCAAGCCGCAGCCCGACCTGCCCATATCCATATGACTGCCATTTGATCTACCTGATTCTCTCACATAGAGACCCCATATCGTCATTTTCCAGCAGGGAACATTGTCAAAGAATATCTGCACACGTGTCCTAGGGCCGTGATGTCCAAAACAAAAACTCCGTGTTATAGGCTCCAGCACTGCATATCTCTCGGTCTCGAATGTATACTTCATAGCCACAGCACTCCATGCACAATCTACAGTCATCACCACTTCTCCGCGAGGCGGGTCACTAAATATATACCTGAAAATGGGAAAGGGTGCTCAAGAGTACTGTATTCGAGCTATCGATTATCATGGTAGGATAAGGTGTTGAGGAATGAGAGGAAGGGTTGAGAAATGTGAGACGAGACGGGTCGTATGGCGTTTGACGAGTTCTGATGGTTGAAAAGCTAGAGCGAGACACGAATCAGAACATGGGAAGAGGTTCTGTCGAAGAATGGGGAGGACGAGTCTGACTTGGTGCTTGCAGATGGGACGGTGGAAATGGGGTTGGGATTGATAGTGGCAGGGTCTCAGGTTCGCAAGGCGGTGGCGCCTTAGAGGCAGGTATGTTCTGGTTGTTTCGAGTGAACTGCCAGTATGTGCGAATATAGACGCGGACGTTTCATTCCATGATGGTTTGAAGCGCGCGCCCTCTTCGAACTGACAATGGGTCTTCCGTGGCTGCATTGCCGATTTGTAGCACTTATTAGATTTGAAGCACACGTCTTGATGCTATCCGTTGACTTTCTTATCAACGTAAGCATGAAGGATGCCTTGGTGTTGGCATCGGAGATGATCAAGGCGTGCAGCCGCGGAAAGAATCCAGACAAGAGTGTCAGGGACTATGAAGAACACATGTTTTCACGATCCATGGAGGCGGTGATCAAGACGACCAAGAATAGGGAAGAGCATTTCAGTGGACCCGGGGCAAAAGAGTGTATAAATGGGTTGAAAGCACACTGTTCTGATCAGGGGTATAAAGTAGGCACGGCCTGAGCAACAGACGATTGGACTTGGCGGAGGAGAGTTGAACAATTTTCTTCTGTTGCAAGCAAGACAATCGATACCTTGGACACAACAGCACCCAACCCTAATCGATAATGTTAGTGGTATGTTGGCCTGATGTGTAAAGGGTCTCCGCCTGGAATGACAGCTTGTGCGGCTCGAACAGATTTTGGTCAGCATGGCCTCGTTTTAGAACATACTACATACGGTGTTTGCACCCTTTGCTTATATGTCGTAGTAATGACCACGCTGGCCCCCTCGATCGAAGCTTTTTTTTTATCGCTATAGAACCGAAGTGATGTGCCTGTGATTGCGGCACAGAGCAATGGTCGGCTGACCATATTCCGCATCGTGGCAGCGAATCAGGATCGGCATTTCAAATACAGGCACAATGGGCAACCTCCCAAGACGAATGGCTTGGACCGCAAGCGGTTCCGCGGCACAGGAATGGCGGTAGTATGTGTTGATCTCATTTCTCGCAGCTTCGCCGTCCACAGAATACACTCGCATAAACGTATAATAGGGTTGCAGCGCGACAGGCATGCCTGACCGGAGGGCTTAGTGACGTCCATCATCGACAGCCGGTGTCCTATTTCTGGTGGTGTGGTCGAGTCGTGCGGATAAGGGGGCGCACGCCAGCCTCGTCTACTACCGTTACCCACCCTTGTTATGAATCCGAGCTTCGGCCAGTTAAAACAGCGGTCAGGAAGGCGACTCCCTGGCGTGACCGTTTGGTACCTGCATACCGGCTAGCGCTGTGGCCATGGTTCCGCCTTGTGAGGTGCACAACACATTTAACCACGCGTGGATGCTTCGTCTTACTGCCGCCATCCAGAATGTCATCGATTCGGCAGACAAAGACGCCAGTGATCGGCCGTCATCACACAAGCGGGAAGCGGTGACGCCACACGAGATGGTTCTGTGGCTGCTCTGACAGGCGCAACATGCCTGCGCGGAAGGATAGGGTTTCGTGTGTAGAAGACAGCTGGTGTCAGAAGGCTGATGTCGTATTTGTTGCTGTGACGCACTTGGTTATGTTGTTCAGGGTGAAGGCGCTTAGCCACATCCGCAGCTAGAGCCGATCCGCTCTCCACCCAACACGACTGCGATACCCCAGATGTCATTTCCGCTCGGGGCAACTCAAGAACTCAATAGAGCTGGCAACAGCATGCCCATGCCGTTCCTGTACAGTGAGGGCCTTAGCAATTTCCAGGGCCCCTAACTAACGCCTTTTGAGCCACAGCGGCCCATAGCCTGGTCAGCTCACAGGCCATGGCTCAGCACTCAAAAGCTCCGGGTTTCCAGCCTGTCTTTGGACTCTTTTTTTCCTCGTTACGCAAGGCTTTTCGTTACGCATCGCCTCGTTGACAAATCCTCTTGGCCTATTGTGCCCTGTCGCTCTTTATACGTTTTATATCTTAATAATACCCGCTTCACTCGCTCAGCGGACTAGCACCACTACCCCTAGTTTACCACAAAACCCCGTACGGATTCCAAGATGAAGTACGCATTTGTTGCAGCTGCCCTTGCCGGGTCAGTTTTTGCCTCCCAGCACAAGGCTCATGCTGGTTTCCACCAGCGCCGCCACGGGTACGCCGCGGCTCCCCAGGAGGATGTTTGCACTGTCTACACCACCGTCTACGTGACTGGTAAGTAACAGCAGCAATCATATTATCACCAATGCATATCCTAACATTTCAATAGGCCCTCCCCCAAGCTACCCCACTTCCTCCGTGGAGACTCCCCAGCCCACCGGCCCTGCACCAGGTGTTCCTGAGCA